CATGCCGGCCTTCTGGGACTCGCTTTGCCCATCCCCTCCTGGACCATCAGGAGGGTTCTTTGGGAGCGACTCCTCTTCGCCGGGCGAGTGATCACGTAGGCCGGGGTTGGCCTTATATTCTAGAGGGGAAGTCTTCTAGGAGCATTTGCTTACTCTCGCTGTAATAAGCTCCATGTAACCTACACCTCCTCTTATTATAATAAAACACCCTTTGCATTCTGCTTCTTCTTTCGTATTGCTAGTGCACTCGTCCGCCTGAATGGTTGAGGAGTCGGCCATCATGTCGAGTCCTTCCTTCGTTTGACACCTGTAAAGCATTCCGCCTCCCAGGGCGAGTCAGGCTTTCCAGTCTAGCGTGCGAATCTCGCCCTTCCCGAGCTGATTTGATGGGATTAATCTCTGACAGAGATTCGCACCGCCCATACGTCAGTTATGATTCCCTCCGTGATTTGCGCCTGGGTTATCGCCCCCTCAAGGCTCTATATAAGGGCTCTTGGTGGCTCTATGTTTCTCATCATTCCTCATTTCAAAACTTCAAGCCATGAGCTTCAGAGACGGTGATCGCCGCTGGTCTATTCGCAACAAGGAGCACGCCCGGCTGGAGGAGCTCCGGCAGAAAAGGGCGGCTAATGGAGGGCACTTGGTGGGCGACTCCACCTCTGACCCTATCGTGGTGCCTCCCGATATGCTTGACCTGATGATCGTAGAGCCGGATGACGCCGAGATGGAACCTGTGGTGGAGGACCCGGAACCGGAGGAGGACATAGAGTGGGAGGCTCCTCCGCTTTTTGGCATAGCTATGTCACCGAGTGCTCTAGAAAGGCCCCTGCTGATGGTAGTTGATGGGAAGCCCGCAGTGTATCTGGATGAACTGCCCGAGCCCGAGCCTGAGCCGAGTCCTTTGCCCTTCCGTCCCCACTACTTCCTGGAGGGTCCGCAGCCGGTGCGTCATGCGGAGGAGAAAGAAGCTAAGCCCTAGGCCCGTCTTTTCTTTGTAATGTGTGTGGCCGAGTCCTCAGCCTTGTACTCCCTGTTTCATGGAATAAAAATCATGTTTTTATGTTCAACTCTTGGTTTCGCATGTCTTTTGGCCGACCCCCGGTTATCATGACCGGCTCTTAGAATTTGTCCGACTGATCCCCTTAGGCGAGGGACTCGCCGAATCCATCGGCCGACCTCACGACCAGAAACTTGTCTGGGCCCTTCAGTTGGCCGGACCCAGCCGGGTCTTTTCTAGAAACTTCCAGCATGATCTTGGTGGGCCCCCATGGCTTCGGCCTTGATGGGCTTTCGGCTTAGCAGGCCGGGTCACAGCTATCCAGCCTCGGTCTAGGGTAGACGCGTCGCTTGCAGGCTAGCCCTAGACCTGAACCGTCGCCCCATCTATCGAGGCATTAAATGCGGCGTCCTTTCGATGTCTTGTCGCCTCCGATTCCTCCACTGAGGAGGCGCCGCGTGGCGGCTTCCCGGGCTTCCCCTTTCCTTTTAAATGGCTCCTCTCCTCTACTCTTCCTCTTCAAGTTTCCACCCAAGCTTCTTTGCTCTTTCATCGTCTTCCCAGCCTCAACTCAGATCTATAAGTAATGTCTTCCTCCTCTTATTCTTCTTCCACCAGCCGTCAGTCTTTTGACAATCCGGCGGGGACCTCGCCGTCGTCCTCTTCTTCTTCTTCTGTTGTCCGCCGTCTGGAAATGCCGGCAGGCTTCCAGACGGTGTCTTCTTCTTCTTTTCCAACCCCTTCTTCTTCTGGGGCGGCCACTCCGATGAGCCCAGCCCCGCTAACCACGGTGGCGGCTCTGCCGGACGGCGTCGAACGGCCGCGAGGCAAATTCGACTCGATAGTCAGGCCGTCCGGTCTCCCGTCGAGTGCCACGGCAGCGGACCTTGATATGGCCCGTTTTTTGCTTGGCCCTTCGGCCCTGGTTGTCGCGGCGGAGGGTCGCATTCGGCTTCCGAGTGCCTCCTCACCCATTTCTTTCGCTTCTTTTCCGGCACTATAACCTGGTCTCGGGCCAGTTAGTGCCCAATTCGCACCGCCTTCTTACCAGCTTCATTAACCTCTGCCATTGGTGGCAGTGCGAGCCGGATCTAGACTTGTTCCGGTTCCTCTTTACCGTGAACAAAGTCGGCTCTCACTCGCCTGGCTTCGTTCAAGTCGCCGCCCGTCCGGGGCGGCAACTCTTCGAGGCGTTATCCGACTCGATCAAAGAGTGGAAGCCTCTTTACTTTTTCGTCCGACCCCGCTCTTCTTCCTTCTCTTTTCCGACCCTGTGGCCGGCGACTCTCTTCAAGCCTTGCTCTCGGCGCGCCGTCTTTACGGAAGATGCTGTCCAGGGCGGCGAGTTCTTGAAGAGCCTGGGGCCGTACTCGGTCAAGTATTGGTCCCGGGTCCGGGCCATGGCCAAGCATGGCCTACTGCCGGAGGGCGCGGCCACCATAGGTAGCGTCTTTTTTTTACCCCGTTCTCAACTCACTCCTACTTCTTTATTTGTTATTTTAACCCGAAGCGCTCACAACTATGCGGTTTTCTTGCAGGTCCGTACGATTCTGACTCCTCCAGCTCCGACGAGGCCGTTGCACCGACTCCAGAGATGGCGGACAGGGCTGAAAAGATGAGGCGCCGCTTGACGCAGCGTTCCACCGGTGCCGCCGCCGCTTCTTCCTCTCAGCCGTCGCCGGCGATTCGGCCGACTCCTCCACCCTCTCACAACGTGGTCGATCTTACACCATCGCCCGTGGTGTCGCCCACTCGGCAGCCACCTCCTCCTTCGACTGAGAGCCCAAGCTCCAAGCGCCCTGCCGAGCACACGGAGGGGCCGACTCCGAAGAAGATCAAGCTGTGCCACGAGGTGGATGCCGATGCCCAAATCTGGATGGGCGCCGCCTCGGTCCGCAAGTGGTGCGCCGACGTTCTCCTGCCTAATGACGTGGCGGCGACGCAAGCTTTGGGGGACGGGTATATCCTCGAGGCCTCGCTTCGCCAATCTTACCGCGTAAGTGTCACTGACTCGGCTCCTATTCTCCGCTCTTTCTTTTCCTTGTCTGACTCGTGACAACTGCGCAGAACCTCACCTTTCAGATGGAGATGGGCAAGCGGCTCCAGAACTTTAGGACCGAGATGCGGTCCACGGTTCTCAAGTTGCGCCAAACAGAGGAGGCTTTCCTGGAAGAGCAGGCGAAGCACCTCAAGATGGTGGAGGTGCACAACTCCGAGCTGCTGAGGGTTACCCGTCAATTGGAGGAGGAGAGGGATAAGTTGGCGACGATCGCCGCGACCTCCGTCGAAGATTACAAGAAGTCGGCGGCCTTCGAGGCGGATGTGAGAGCGGGGGTGGAGGCCCGGAAGAAAGAGGTGGCCAAGGAGTGGCTGGCGACCCCAGAAGGCGACGAGTTCCTTCTGGATCTGGGCGAACGCGATTACCGCCTTGGCTTCTGTGAGGCGCAGACAGAGATCCACGCCACGTTGCTGGCTCGCGACTCCTCGTTCACTCCCGAGGGCTGGGGCCTCAAGCCGGTGTTGGATGCTGGAGGGCCGGCAGCGCCTGCTGATCCGTCGACTCTTCCCACGGCGACGCCCCCAGAGCTTATCGAGTCCTCTCCTCAGGCGGAGGACCCTTCTTCTGTTCCCCTAGCTGGACCAACGGCAGGAGCGCAAGTTGAAGGGGTCGACGTCGACACCCCATCCCCAGTAGCTTAGGGCTTTTTAAGATAGCCCCTTTTTTTTTGTAAAGGCTGGCCTCCTTTTCGGCCTTATTTTAATGAAAAAAAGCTCTCCCTTCTTTCGCACTTCGTTTTCGAATTCTTTTAATACTGACAAATCTCTAAGGCTTCGAGCCTTTCTCCCTTACCTCTTAATTCTCCCTTGCCGAGTCCTTCAATCGAGGCGACTCCCTGGGCTTTCTCTTGGAAACGACTAAGGGTCTAGGCCCTTGTTTCCCAACTCTTTCCCGCCGAGTCCCTCAGTCGAGGCGACTCTTTAGGCTTTTATTTTCTCAGAAACGGTTTAGGGTCGGTGCCCCGTTGTTTCTATATATACTCGCCGAGTCCCTCAGTCGAGGCGACTCCTTCTGGCTTTTCCTCGGAAACGACTAAGGGTCTGGGCCCTTGTTTCCTAACTCTTTCTCGCCGAGTCCCTCAGTCGAGGCGACTCTTTAGGCTTTTCCTTTCTCAGAAACGGTTTAGGGTCGGTGCCCCGTTGTTTCTATATATACTCGCCGAGTCCCTCAGTCGAGGCGACTCCTTCTGGCTTTTTCTCGGAAACGACTAAGGGTCTGGGCCCTTGTTTCCTAACTCTTTCTCGCCGAGTCCCTCAGTCGAGGCGACTCTTTAGGCTTTTCCTTTCTCAGAAACGGTTTAGGGTCGGTGCCCCGTTGTTTCTATATATACTCGTCGAGTCCCTCAGTCGAGGCGACTCCTTCTGGCTTTTTCTCGGAAACGACTAAGGGTCTGGGCCCTTGTTTCCTAACTCTTTCTCGCCGAGTCCCTCAGTCGAGGCGACTCTTTAGGCTTTTCCTTTCCCAGAAATGGTTTAGGGTCGGTGCCCCGTTGTTTCTATATATACTCGCCGAGTCCCTCAGTCGAGGCGACTCCTTCTGGCTTTTTCTCGGAAACGACTAAGGGTCTGGGCCCTTGTTTCCTAACTCTTTCTCGCCGAGTCCCTCAGTCGAGGCGACTCTTTAGGCTTTTCCTTTCTCAGAAACGGTTTAGGGTCGGTGCCCCGTTGTTTCTATATATACTCGCTGAGTCCCTCAGTCGAGGCGACTCCTTCTGGCTTTTTCTCGGAAACGACTAAGGGTCTGGGCCCTTGTTTCCTAACTCTTTCTCACCGAGTCCCTCAGTCGAGGCGACTCTTTAGGCTTTTCCTTTCTCAGAAACGGTTTAGGGTCGGTGCCCCGTTGTTTCTATATATACTCGCCGAGTCCCTGCGACGATTAGCTGTAACCCATGTGCTTTATTTAGATTTTTTGGAATCCTCAAGCCCGTACACGGCCTATCCTTTTCTACTGATAGAATCTTTTCAAATGAGTGACGTTCCATATGCGATCTATGGGCTTGCCTTCCATAGTCTCTAACTTGTAGGTTCCGGCTTGGACCACCGCTGCAATACGGTATGGCCCCTCCCACTTAACCGCAAACTTGCCTCCTTCGGTGGGCTGACTGGCTTGTCGATCGCGTAACACGAGGTCACCAACCTGGAAGGTTCGCGGGCGAGTCCTACGGTCGCGATATCTTTTCACCGCCTGCTGATACTCAACCATCCGTGCACTCGCGGCTTCCCTCCTTTCCTCTAGGAAATTTTTCTCGATCCGCAGACTCTCTTCGTTCGCTGCATCCGAGTAGGTGCGAACCCGGTGGGTGGGCTCGACCACTTCGACTGGAACCTTGGCCTCGAAGCCGTATGCGAGCGAGAACGGGCTCTCCCCCGTTGCTCGCCGCTGGGTAGTGCGATAAGCCCATAGGACTCGGTCCAGCTCGTCCGCCCAATTTCCTCGGATGTTTTCGAGCTTCTTCCGGATCCCATCGACCAACGTTCGATTCACATTCTCGACCTGCCCATTGGCTTGCGGGTACGCCACCGATACCTTGGTATGCTTGATATCGTGTCGGCGGCAGAAGTCAGCGAAGGCCTGGCAGTCAAACTGTCGCCCGTTGTCACTGACGATGTGCTCGGGCAGGCCGAAGCGACAGATCACCTTTTTCCAAAGAAAACGTCGACATTGGTACTCGGTGATGGTAGCCAATGGTTCTGCCTCGACCCATTTGGTGAAGTAGTCGATAGCCACGACGCAAAACTTCAGACCTCCCGGGGCGACGGGCAATGGTCCCAACAAGTCTATTCCCCACTTGGCGAAGGGGATGGCAGTGGTGACCGGTGTATAAAAGGTGGCCGGCCGGGTGTCTTTCCTGGCGAATGCTTGGCAAACGCCGCACTTGGACATCCATTCGATACAGTCTCGCATCATGGTCGGCCAATAATACCCTTGAACGACTAACTTCTGGGCGAGCGTGTGGGCGCCCTGGTGCGCAGCACAAATGCCTCTATGAGCTTCGTCCATTATTTTCTCGGCCTCAGGTCTAAGCAGGCACTTTAGTAAGGGTCCTCCGAACGACTGTTTATATAACTGCCCGTCGATGATCTGGAAGGAAGGGGCTTTTCGCCGAACTCTAGCGGCGACTCCTTGGTCACTTGGTAACTCGCCCGTCTCCTTGAATCGCCGGATATCTTCCATCCAAAACATCTCAGGGTTTTTCTCCCGATCCCATTCCTCGATATTTACTTGCTGGACTTCCAGTGGTGTCTCTTCAACACTCGGCCGATTTAACTCCTCCTTCTGGCAAATTCTTATCAAGTGGTCCGGCACCCCTTCCAGGGCAATTTTGGACAATATGTCGGCTTCCACGTTGTCCGCTCAGGAGATGTACTCTATCTCGTAAGCCCCGAACTCTTTTAACATCTCAACGGCACGCTCTTTGTATAGTACCATCCTTGCATTCTTAGTCTCACACGTACCTGAGATTTGTCCGACTACCAGTTTGGAGTCAGTCTTGATTCGCAGCCGCTCGACTCCCAGGGCCTTGGCGAGTCGGAGGCCGTTTAATACTGCTTCATACTCGGCCTCGTTATTTGATGTCGAGAACAAGTATCTCAGAGCGTAATATAGCCGGAATCCTTCCGGAGTGATGAGCATGACACCGCCTCCACAGTGCTGTCGACTCGATGCTCGTGTTCCTTTTCTTCCTCACCTGCTGTACATTCGACCAGGAAGTCGGCCAAGGCTTGACCTTTAATGGAAGGCCGGGGTTGGTACTCAATCCCATACTGAGTCAACTCTACGGCCCATTTTACAAGTCGGCCGGAGGACAAGGGGTTTCTTAGCACGCTCTCGAGCGGCTGGTCTGTCAGAACTCGGACGGTATGGGCTTGGAAATAAGGTGCCAGCTTGCGCACGGTGACTACCAATGCATACACAATCTTTTCCAGAGCGGTGTACCGCGTCTCAGCGGCCTTCAGCGAGCGACTTACGTAATAAACCGGGTGCTGGACTCGGTCTTCCTCTCGGACCAATACCGAACTCACTGCTTTGGCCGAGGCGGTGAGGTACAAGAATAAGGGCTCGCCCACCTGGGGGGTAGACAGCACTGGGGGCGTTGAAAGGTACTGTTTCAACTCCTCGAACGATTGTTGGCATTCGGCAGTCCAAGCGAATCCCTCCTTCTTCTTCATGGCTTCGAAGAAAGGCACGGTCTTATCTGCCGCTTTGCTCAGGAAGCGGCTAAGGGCGGCCAACCGACCAGTCAATCGTTGTAGGTCCTTGATGGTGGTAGGAGGCTGCATGTCGATGATGGCCTGTACTTTCTCCGGATTAGGCTCAATGCCTCGTTTGGTGACCATATAGCCCAAAAATTTGCCACCTTGGACGGCGAACGCGCACTTTTTGGGGTTCAGCCGAAGGTTGTATTTTAACATTACCTTGAAGCAGTCGGCCAGGTCCTCCGCATGCTTGTCCTCCTCCCGGCTCTTGACGAGCATATCGTCGACGTACGCGGCCATCGATTTCCCAAGCAGGTGTTGGAACAGCCGGGCGACCATTCGGGTGTACGTAGCCCCGGCATTTTTAAGTCCGAAGGGCATGACTCGGTAACAGTAAACTCCGTCCGGTGTCAGGAAGGCGGTCTTCTCCTCATCCGCCAGGTGCATAAATATTTGGTGGTACCCTCTGAAGGCGTCCATGAAACTCAGTAGTGCCGACCCGGCCGTTTCGTCGACTAACTGGTCGATCCGAGGTAGGGGAAACGGGTCTTTTGGGCAAGCCTTATTAAGATCGGTGTAATCCACGCACATTCGCCACGCCGGGGGCTTGGGTACGAGGACCACATTTGCCAACCACTCCGGGTACTTAACCTCGCTGACGTGCCCGGTCGCTAGTAGCGTGCTAACTTCCTTCTTCACAAATTCCCTCCGGTCGTTGGCCAGGTATCGTTCTTCTGTACGACCGGTCGGTGCTCCGGATCCACGGCGAGTCGGTGTGATGTAACCGACCGATCGACGCCGGGCATATCCTCCGGGCCCCAGGCGAAAACCAATCGATATTCCTGGAGCACTCTCACGACTTCCCCCCTTAGTTTCTCAGGAAGGCCGACCCCAATTCTCACCCGCCTACTAGGCTGTGCGGGGTCAATCTCGACTTCCTCTAGCTTGACGGCCGGCTCAGGGCGAGGTATCACCGTTTTCCTAGGGGGCCTCTTGGTAATCTCGTGGACCTGCATCTCACGTTTGCCCATCCCTCTACATGCTTGTAAATAACAGTCGCGGGCGACCTTGCGATCGCAACGTACCGTTCCTATTCCGTTCGGCGTGCGAAACTTCAAGCACAGGTGTTCGATTGAGATTAGGGCTCCGAGGTCCTCCAAACCCGGACGGCCGAGTATGGCGTTATGTGAGCAGGCCAGATTCACCGCGATAAACTTCATGCTTAACTTCTGTACATCCGGGTAACTGCCAATCTCCACAGGAAGGGTGATCGACCCTTCCGCCTCCACCGAGTCCCCGGTGAAGCCGGCGAGAGGGGTTTTGACAGGATTCAGCTGCTCTCGGGTTAGCCCCATTTTGATGAAGGTTTCCAGGTATAACACATTGACGCTACTCCCGGTGTCAACCAGGATTCGGCGAACGACTACACCATTGATGTCCATAGCGATGACCAACGCATCTCGATGCGGGGTCTCTCCGGCTGGCAGGTCCCTATCGGTGAACACGATGGGTTCTCGGCATACCTTTTTGGAGCTCTCTTCGCGACCGTAAACCGTCCCGACGTACAATTGCCGAGCCCAGGCTTTTCGGGTGTTTACCGAGTCGCCGCCCTCTGGTCCGCCGACTATCATGTTGATAACCGGCTTCTGGCGCCATTGGGCTTCATCCTCTTCGGAAGCCGGCTGCTTACCTCGGCTGTTCTCTGCGTCGGCGGCAAGTCCCTCATCTCCTCGACTGGCCGACCTTCGCCTCCATTGATTAGGGCGCGGGGTCCCTTGCTGGATAATCCCCTCCATGATCTTCTTTAGATAGAAGCATTCTTCCATGCTGTGAGTATAAGATTTATGATAACGACAGTACTTAGAAGTCTTACCAGTCTCCTCACTTGTTACGCGGTCGTCGATCGGTGGAGGCGGAGGTGGGGCAACTGCTTGTATTTCGTGGACCGGCCGCTCCGGAACCGGTCGATAGGCGTGGACGACGGGGCGGTCGTACGGTCGCCTAACTTCGGGTCGCCGGGCCACATCCGAACGCCTTTCCTTCGTCTCGGCCCGCATCCTTTTCCCGCTGGCGGACCCGCCGACCTCGCGTTGTCGTTTATGCTTCATGGCCTGCTCCGTGTTGGCTCTCTTGTTGGCCATCTGGATAGCTTCAGCGTACGTTGCCGGGCGATTGTCCCTTAGGTCTCGGGTCAGCTGGCCGGACCGCAAAGACTCGATGAAGAAAGTGAGTGCCGTTTGGTCCTCCACTTCCTCTATCGACTGGATCTCCTTTTGCCAGCGGGCTAAATAGGTTTTTAAGGACTCGCCCTCGTCCTGGTGGATGTCGCCTAAGTGCATCAGGTCCTTCTGTGGCTTGATGTTGGCGGCGTAGTGGCTCATGAAGCGATCTGCCAGCTCCTCGAAGCTGTGAATCGTCCCTGGGGGTTGCGCCACGAGCCACCTCTGCGCAGACCCCTTTAGCGTGGGTAAGAAGGCGCGGCACATGACCGGGTCCCGTACCCCTAAAACTTGCATCTTAGCTTGGTAGCTCAGTAGGTGTTCTCGCGGGTCGCCCGACCCGTCGAACGTGGCTTGCTCCGGGAACTTGAAGTCGCCCGGTATCTTGAAGGCCATGATCTCGGCCGAGAAGGGTAACGCGGTCAGCAGCGTTCAGCCAGGGGCCTTGGCTTTTCCTTCCACTTGTTCTTTTAGATTTCGCACCTCCTGGACTAAATTTGCCACCTCGACCCTCTCTCGGGTGCGGTTTCCTGTCGATTTCGTGCTCTCGCCGACCTCTGACTCGACAGGTTGATCATGGTCGTGGGCGGGCTGCTCTAAGCGGCGAGCCACCGTCCGGGCTTTCCTTGCACGGTTACGCTCACGCGCGCTCTGTCGACCGTGAGTTTCTAACGGGGCGCGAAGGGGTTCCCTTCGTCCCAGCCATTCTCTCGCCGACCGTCGTTCCGCACCTGGACCCAACCGAGAATGAACGGACTGGGCCGGTTGACTCTCAGCCCGGCAGGCGGATTGTCGATTGTCTGGCCTTCGCGACGGTTGGGGGTCTCGTTGCGGTATCCGAGTAGCGGATTGCTCCCGTATTCCCTGGCTCGCCTCAGCGAAAGCGCGTCCAATCGCTTGTAGCTGATCCGGGGTGAGCTGCACCGCGGCTGGTTGTGGATTTATCCGCGGAGTCGGCAGCGGTGTCGCGTCGTTTTCCCGGCTTGGGGCGTTTCTTCGATTCAACTAATCTCTTAGGTCGGCTCCTAGCCCGTTATCGTGTTGACTCAACTGCTCTTGGCTTCCTGTCATGGTAAAGCTTTTCGATCTCTCGCAACTAGGGCTCTCCTCAACGTTCTCTCGGACTCGCTTTGCTCAGAAGGCACGCGACTCTTTGTTCGATCCCCACAGACGGCGCCAGTGATGGTTTTTGGGTTTTCGGGCCCAAGGAGGTCCAACACAACCTTTCAGCTGGAGGATACACCTTTCACAAAAAGTCTAATTTCAATGAAATGCGATGTTAATAAAGCTTTGTATTCCCTTTCTGGGTTCTCGAATCCCCCCTCTTACAAGGGTGGAGGAGCCCTTTTATAGTGGCTCCTCCCTCACTGACTTAAAGGCCCATAATGGCCGACTTCAAGGCTGCTTTCAAGGTGCCGAGCCGTCGAGTGACGTTACGGGGTCTACCAACGGCTCTTTCTAGCTCGTAACCGGCGGACCGAGTCCGGCCTTTAATGCCTCAACGGCTCTTCGTCTTAACTTCTTCGGAGGCTCCCTCAACGGCTCTCTGCATTGAGTCTTTCCCTGGGTTGGGCCCGGACCGACTCCTCGTCTCCGGCCCATGCTCAGGTTGGATCGTCCTTCATAGCCCTGGCCAGGGCCTTCCATTTGGGCCTGGGCCGACTCCTGGACTCGGCCCACACATTCTCCAGGCCTGCCTCGTGTCAGCCCATTCTTCTCTCTGGTCTTTCCTCTTTGGGCCCTCTTTTCTTGGGCCGGGGTTCTCACCCCATCAATATATATATATATATATATATATATATATATATATATATATATATATATATATATATATTAATTTTTTAAATTAAGATTAAGGTTTTTTGTTTTTAAAATTAAAAATTAAATTAATTTATGATTTTGACTAAGAATTGATCAGGGACAGGGAATCTCTGTCCCTGCCTAGCTCCCACAGGGACGGGGATGTGGACTATTTTCAATTCCCCGACAAGGATGGGATGGGGATGGGAACGGGGTCGAGGTTTCTGGGACGAGGACGGGGCTTATATTCCCCGCCCCGTCACGTCGCGTCCCGTTGTCATCCCTACTATCAAAGAAAACAAAACAAAACAAAATAAAATAAAAATAAAAAATAAAAAATAAAAAAAAAATTCTGACTCTACAAAAATATTCAACTGACTTGGCCAAGTTAGGCATTGACTCGACTAAGTTGTGTGCCGATTTAGGCATTGACTCGACTAAGTTAGGTGTCGAGTTAGGCGTCAACTCGACCAAGTTAGACGCCTAGTCGTCTAGCTAGTCGGTCGACTTACTAAAAGGTGCCTAGGCCCGAAATCCCCTTGGCCTAGGGGTGCCTAGACGGCTGCCTACGCAAATTTTTAAAACAGTGACTATTGGTTCATTTGTCAATACATATATGCATGAGCTCTGCTATTTAATTTCATTTTATACATATAATATGTCCATTATAGTAACACTAAAATATTATTTTAATTCTACTATAGGTTAATTTGACGATATACATATATGTATGAACTATGCTATATATTCAGTTTCATTTTATACACATAATATGTTCATTATAACAAAACTAAAATATCATTTTAATTCTATTACAAATTTATTTGACAATATACATCTGTAACGTGATTTGTCATTGGTTCACGATAATGACAACCATTTCTTTTTTTTTTCTTCTTTTTTTTTTTTTTTGTTTTTTTGAAAATACAACCATTTCTTTTAATTAATAGAAACAGAGTTGTATTTGACTATGATTCATACAGGTGTGTGAACCATAGTCCACCATTTATTAATTGACAATTTTTAAGACGGACTTAATGATCAAGGTTAAGATTGAATCACTTTGTTGCAGGTTGAATATACCTAATGAATTTCCTTCTACATGAAAAAGAGAAGAACAGTCAATTAAATGGGTTACACCACTATAAAAACCCTTTCTTTATCTTTTACTTTATATTTTGTTCATTTCAAACTAGCTTTACACAACTGAACACAAATCAAACCTAAAGTGTATCAATTTTTTAAATAAAGTGCGATTTTTGTGCAGGATTAATTTTGGAA